CGCCTCACCCTTTCCCACGGTGGTGGGCAGCGACCTCAGGGTGGCTGTACTGAGACGCAGCCGCCAGCCCCCGGGTGGGCGTGGGGTGGGGCCCAGCCCGGGCCGAGCCAGCAGGGACCATGTGTGTGTGGTTCTGTCCTGTGCGTGCCTGCTACTCCAGACGGACTTTAGAAGGAAGGGACAGAGGGAGGCTCTCAGATCTCAGTGAATTCTGCCTCATTCCCGGCCCGACGGCTGCAGCCCTTCCCGTCGTCCTCGGGAAGGGTAGCAGGTGCGCACGTCCACCCTCCCTCAGCGCTGCGGGTGCTGAGCCTTTAACATTCTGATTGTTCGTCAGACTGAGCAGCTTTTCATGTCGATCAAGCGTTTGTACCTTTTCTGAAAATTGCCTGTTTATATATCCTTTGTGTATTTTTACTTTTGGGCTTTATGTCTTTTTTTTTAATGAGTTCTTTGTATATTTAGGATAGTGATCTTGTTCTGTGATTTTTTTTCATTGTTTTTCACACTTGTTTCAGATCTAAATTAACTGCTTTAAAACAGGTGGTGTAAAGTGCATGTCGTCAGCATGAGGTCAAATATTTGTAAGGTTTGTGCAGCACGGTGTGAATTTTTTTTACAACCTGGTTTACTTGTTTTTATGTCTTAGCTACATGCTAGTTTATTGTCAAATTTTTTTTTTAGTTCAACCAGTTTATTACTACCAACCCATCTCCCTCCACCCTCATGTATGCATGCTCAGGCGTGTAACCCCGTGGACTGCACCCAGCCAGGCTCCTCTGTCCATGGACTTTTCCAGGTGAGAATACTAGAGTGCGTTGCCATTTTCTTCTCCTGGTATTGTCATCTTTCTATAAATGTTAGATATACAAAAAAGCAAAATTTCCAATAAACACGAAGAATTGGCTAATTTTCCTTAACTTCCTTTCTTTTCTAGTAGATATTTGAATAAAAGCATTGATATCTAAAATGTTAGTTTGATATGGACTATAAAATCAAAGATGAGAAATATTTGTCAGTTATTTCATAGTGTTTGAGTATTCCAACATTCCAATACCAATTGCAGTCTATAATTAGATATTCCTTTAGTTTCATTTTTGACTGATCATTAATTACTAAATAGTATTTTAAGAGGCAGGCTCTTGTTTTCAGATGCGTTTAAGAGCTGTTGAAACCACCAAGGGTATTTTGGCCTGGAGGGTCCCACGACCACCAGGGTTCAGGGAGCGGACGTGCCCGAGCCACTCTCACCATCACTCACCGGCCTCCCTGGTGATCTTCTCTGTGACCAGCTCTGGCCTCAAGGGGGTGTGGCCGGTGGGCCTCCCTGGGCCCCACAGAAGGACCCCCGGCTCAGTGCTCTGCCTTCATTGTCTTCAGGTTCTTAATCGCTTTTGAGCAGAGGGTCCTGCATTTTCACTTTGCACCAGACCCTGCAAGTGATGGAGCCAGTCCTGCTGTGGACTACGGTATTCTTTATTGAGAAAAATAGTCTTTTTCTCAGATGCTGAGTACCAGGTAAGCGCAAAGTAAATCCTGAGAAATGAAAGATCTTCTCAATCCTATCTTTTCACATTAAAATATATACACATTTTGGTGGGGATATTTCCGTAGTTGGCTTTTCAACTCCACACAGAATGTATGTCCATGAGAGAAACAAGTGCCCAGTTCAGTTCAGTTCAGTCACTCAGTCATGTTCGACACTTTGCAAGCCCATGGACTGCAGCACGCCAGGCCTCCCTGTCCGTCACCAACTCTTGGAGTTTACTCAAACTCATGTCCATCGAGTCAGTGATGCCATCCAACCATCTCACCTCTGCCATCCCATCTCCTACTGTCTTTAATTTTTCCCAGCATCAGGGTATTATCCCGTGAGTCAGCTCATCGCATCAGATGACCAAAGTATTGGAGTTTCAGCTTCAGCATCAGTCCTTCTAATGAACACCCAAGACTGATCTCCTTTAGGACGGACTGGTTGGATCTCCTTGCTGTCCAAGGGACTCTCAAAAGTCTTTTCCAACACCACGAGTCAAAAGCATCAATTGTTCGGCACTCAGCTTTCTTTATGGTCCAACTCTCACATCCATACATGAATACGGGAAAAATGAGGTAGCCCAGCTTGACACATAGTTTTGAGTCACCTTGACTCGGCCAGAGGTCCAGTTAATTGGGCTAACACCAATCGAAATGTTACCGTGAAGGTAGTTTTTACAGGAGATGAGGATTAAAAGGGTCAACTCTGAGTAAGGCGTCTGGCCCCCAGCATGTGGGTGGGCCCGGTCTAGGCAGTTGAAAATGACTGAGGTCCCCAAAGGAAGAGGTGCTTTGCCCCAGAGGCCTGTGACTCAGGCTGCACAGAAATCCTCCCTTCCCCCACCTCCTGCAGCAGGGCACAGCCTCCCCTGTCCCATCCTCTCACTGTGTTCAAATCTCAGAAGTCCCCCTGAAAATGGTGCCTGCACTGCCCAGCCCTGTAACTCCACTCCTCACTCACAGCCTCCCGGAAGGAGCATGCTGACGGCTCCTAGCAGCTCGCTCTGCCTCTGCGTGCAACATTCCTTGGCCATCTGAGGTCACAGGTGCAGGTGGCCTGTTCCCCGCTGCTGGGAAGAAGAGTCATCTTCCTCTTCCGAGCCGGCGTCCCCGTGTCAGTGTCCCTCTGGCCTTGGGCTCACCCTCAGTGTCCGTGTCGGCTTCCCAGGTGAAGAGTCTGCCTGCCAGTGCAGCAGACAACGGTTTGATACAGGGTCAGGAAGATCCCCTGGAGGAGGAAATGGCTACCCCTCCAGTATTCTTGCCTGGGAAACCCTGTGGACAGAGGAGCCTGGTGGGCTACAGTCCATGGGGCCGCAGAGTTGGACACAAATTAACGACTGAGCAAAGCACGTAAAATAAAAGCCTCGAGCAGCAGAGGTGCTGGCTGACACAGTCGCAGCCCCGTCCCCATCTTCCCCACCCAGCCCTGCTTCTGTCCCCAGGTGCCCCCAGAGGCACAGACGGCCCTTCCCCGGCTTCAGGGAGTGGTCTCCAAACCGCAGAGCCAAGCGCTTTGCCATCCACCGGGGAACTGGAGGAACGATCCCATGATGATCCATGTGCTTAGGAAAATGGGTCTGGAACCATATGCCAGGTCCTCAAATACTCGACACAGAAGTACCGCATGAGGCACAGTTCCACTTCTGGGTGTGTCCCCAGAAGAATTAAGAGCAGGGTCTCAGACACATACTTGCAGCCCCGTGTTTGTAGCAGCATTATTCACAACAGCCAAGAGTGCAAGCCTCCCAGTGTCCGTGCCGAGATAAATGGTAACAGAGTGTGGTCTCTGCACACAATGGAGACGCATCCAGCCTTTAAAAGAGGAAGGTAAGCGTGACACAGGCTCTAACATGGGTGACCCTTGAGGATATGAAGCCAAGTGAAATACACCAGGCACTAAGGACAAGTCCTGTGTGATCCCACTCACACTCTTCCCCACATCTGTACTCCCTGTCTTCCACGATCTCCCGAGATTGACACGTTTGGGAAATTGAAGTGGAGGTAGCTTGGTTCAGACTTCAGACAAAGGGCAGCATACCTCTGACCGACTTCAGGCCCTGGACCCTGCCTGTACCTCATACCTGTCTGCAGGGATGATTATCATTACCAGCAAGTCAAGGGGCACTTGAGATATGAAAGCGAGTGGGTCTTGGGATTTCTTAGCTCCTGATGTTAGGCCCCAGTCTAAGGAAGCTTCTGGCTCACAATGTGAAACAAACATCATTGTAACAGTTCAAGAAATAAACCGGAGCTGCGTTTATTTCACAGAGCTGACGATGATATCATTGTGCAGTCTGGGATTATAAATGGGAGCCCCCATAACCCCAGTGTGAAGTCTCACCCTTGGGGTGGACGCAGAGCCCGGGATCCTTTCCTCGCTGGGGGTCCAGATGGACCTCATTCGGGATTTCGCAGGGATGCTGGAGTCTGGATGTCAGCCGGGAACCCAACTTGGTGATGTGTGTGCTGGTACTCCTCTCTGTTGTTTCCGGGTCTTCTCTTTTCATAGCTGCATGCTGAGATTAAGGAATGCATTGAGAATTAAACCTGTTTATTTCTGTGTCACAAGCTGGAATCAACATTGCCGGGAGACATACCAATAACCTCAGATATGCAGATGACACCACGCTCATGGCAGAAAGCCAGGAGGAACTGAAGAGCCTTTGATGAAAGTGAAAGAGGAGAAGGATAAAGTTTGCTGAAAACTCAACGTTCAAAAGTGAAGATCATGGCATCTGGTCCCATCACTTCATGGCAAATAGATGGGAAAACAGATGAAGCAGTGAAAGACTTCATTTTCTTGGGCTCCAAAATCACTGCAAATGGTGACTGCAACTATGAAATTAAAAAACACTAGCTGCTTGGATGAAAACTTATGTCTAACCTAGACAGCCCATTAAAAGGCACAGACATTTCTTTACTGGCAAAGGTTCATCTAGTGAAAGCTATGGTTTTTCCTGTAGTCATATATCGATAAGAGAGTTGGGTCATAAAGAAGACTGAGCGTCAAAGAATTGATGCTTTTGAATTGTGGTATTGGAGAAGACTCTTGACAGTCCCTTTGACTGCAAGGAGATCAAACCAGTCAATCCTAAGGAAATCAGTCTTGAATGTTGGAAGGACTGATGTTGAAGCTGAAGCTCCGATACCTTGGTCACCTGATGCAAAACCTGACTCATTGCAGAAGACCCTGATGCTGGGAAAGATTGAGGGCAGAAGGAGAAGGGGATGACAGAGGACCAGATGGTTGCATGGCATCACCGACTCGATGATTTTGAGCAAGCTCTGGGAGTTGCTGATGGACAGGGAGCCCTGGCGTGCTGCAGTCCACGGAATCACAAAGAGTTGGCCATGACCCAGTGGCTGAGCTGAACAGAACAAACGGTTTCTTTTGTTAAGGAATCCTTCAAACGGAAAATGAAGGTGAAACTTCTGGCAAACCACCTGAGGACTTGGGGATTTAGATGTGGCTTTTCTGTGCGGAGAACCGCACTGTTTACCTGAGGAACTCTGTTCTGGATGGTGGTTCAGGCAGCAACCTGAAGCCGAGCCAGCAGCAGTCCGGGGCTCTCTGGGGTTTTGGCTCAGACTCACCTGATTCCTCAGCCACGCCTCCCCAGCTCAGAGCTGGGTCACACCTGCCCTGCCCCCGGCGTGGCTCTGAGGCTCTGAGAGCAGAGGGTGGGGGGCTCCCGCTCAGAGAACTGTTGGCGGCTGGAGCAGAGGGAAAGCACCTCTCGCCAGCGGGGCCTGGGGGCCAGAGTCACCGGTCATCAGCCCGGGCAGTGAGGACGCACTGCTTGTGTGGAAACAGGTGTCTTGGTTTCCGATAACCGATCACCACAAACTCAGGGTGAATGTGTCCTGGAACTTCGCCGCATGCACGACATTAACATACGATCGATATCATGTATGTAATTCATATGCAATATAATTAACAACAGCAATTAGTGTCAGGATGTGTGCACGTTCGCCTAAGATGCACCCAGGGAACCCAACGGTTCCCCGGGGTCCTGGTTCTGCTCATGGAGCAAGTAATCTCTGGGCAGGGTGGGGGTCCGGGGTGGTGGGCGACACAGGAATCACCTAAACTCTCATGGTGACAAAGTCTCCGCTGGGTCTGGAAATTCTATGACGTAGCTGGTGAACCATTTTCACTTGCATTTCTATACATGCTCTTCCCTGTATTCCCCAGGCCAGGTTAGATTCACCCCAGAGAGATTTTTTCTGTCCTCCTCCGCTTATCATGGTTTATGCCCTCCTGGCTGCATGAGTCTGTGACACCAGTCTTCAGCTGGTGGGCACTGCCCCCTGAGGACAAGTAGCAGCCCTGGAGGTACTTTTCTTGCCATCACTGAGGGAGGCGCAGCTGGCCTCTAGTGGGAGGTGTCCAGGCAGCCACACCAGGAATGGCCATCTGACCCCACTTGTCAGCCGTGCTGCCTTTGAGAAATGCTGGCTGGACACGTAATCAGCCCCCTTTCACGTCGGAACCCACCACATCTCCAGCACAGTGATGAGTCTGGAGGTTTCTCTTTGGGGGCCTAGTGGGTGACATGCAAAGTCAGGGGTGGTATTTCCTATCAGCAGTGGTGGACACAGATGTTCACCAAGCTTCCCATCACGTCTCACTGAATTTAACAAACGTGACACGCAGTGTCTTCTGGAATCTGCCCACCAACTCTGTGGAGCAAATAGGTGTAACTGCTGTCAGGAAGTCAGGTTCAGACAGTCCTGAGAAGGAAATACAAGCAACGGTAGCACATGTCTTCACCGCGGGCTTAGAGACACACGTCTGAAACATGAGTTTGAATTTTAACATTGCTTCTGAATTATGTCTGCCTCCCTTCTTGTTTCTGCGGCTCCCTCCCTGGCGTCACTCCCAACACGTCCGTCCCGCGTACCCCAGCCTGTGCGTCCCCCAGACTCCCTGTTCCCGCTGGGCTGTGGGAGGTCCACCCTAGGTCCTCCCTTCCCAGATCTCGTTCCTGGGCAGGTCACCACCACCCTCACCGCCCCACCCAGGACCTCTTACCCCTTTCTGAGTCACACTGCTATTGCTTCAGTTCTGAGTCTCAGGGAATCTGACCCCTATCATCTGACTTGCTTCTTCAGTGTCTCTTCAGGGCTAACCTGCTCCTTTCCTCTGCGTCATAAATCCACATTAGGACTGAACAGGTTTTTCGAGAGAAACCTCTTTGTGAAACAGAAGCTTTCAATCTGTGGAGTTTTCATAAAATTCCTTGGTCTGGAAAATACCCTCCCTAAGTCCACACTTGAGGCCCCACTTCTCTGCCATGTGACACGCAGCGTGGTGGTGAGAGATTAGTGAGCTGGAGGAGGGTCCCAGCCCTCTGACGGGGCTGCAGAACCAAGTGCTCCTCTGGAACTCACACATCCTTCATCTCCGCTCCTGGTGCCATTCCGGGGGCGTGCCCTCACTGGGGGTGGTGCTGGGTCAGCCTGGTGATGCAGGAACCTACTGGTTCATCAACGTTCATTTCTAACCATCAGCCTGATGTGTCTTTCAGTGTTGCCGAGCACTGGGACACCTTCCTGGGCTTGGGGCCCCTCCTCCCGTCCCCCTCCTGTTTCTCTCCAGAAGCTGAAACACTTGAGGACAGGGGTGCACGGAGCAGGGGAGACGACTGCCCAGCTCTTTCCGTGCGGAACCCCGGAACCCCCGGGTGCCTTCTCTGGGTTCCGTGTGCTGGGTGCAGGCCCTTCCCGAACTGGGCAGGCTTGGATTTCAAGGCTCCTTCCTGCCACTGTCTTCTCCTCAATCCCGTCCGAAACACATCCCCCCAGAAACCATGCCACCTCCCGGGACCTCCGAGGTTATTCTTAGAGGACCTGTTCTCTGAAATCACTGGGAAGAACCAGCTCAAAAATGCTGTTTCTCTCTGCGTCTGGCTGAAGAGCTTTAACATTTGCTCATAATCGCATCCCCCAGGAAAACTCACCATCCCTTTAGTAATGTGTCCAGACACTGCAGTTGATGGTACAGACAGAAAATCAAGTCAAGGACAATGAGGCTGCTCTAAGGCCGGTCACCTAGTGGGAACCATACAGAACACGGAAGCTCCTCCATAAGGTACTTACGGACTGAAGTGTCTGCTGGGACTTTCTTGGGAAATGTGTATGTGGCTGCCACCATCTAGACGTTTGCTCATGACATCTAGGAAGGACCTCTGAGCACTTCTGGTCTCTCATCACCTGGGAGGCACCTCAGCTCGGAGGTCGTGTCCTCAGCCAGGCGCCCAGCGCCCAGCCCAGGGCCACGCTCGTGGGAGACGCCGAGACGTCCCTGCTGTTTGAGTTGACAGTCTTCATTATGCAAGGATGCAGAACTCACAGAGGAAACAAGTTTAGATGGAGTAAGGTCTTCAAAGTTAAGGGAAAAAAGAGGTGAGAGGGAGAAAGGCCTTCAGAGTTCTGAACCCTTGCAGAACAGGGCCATGCTCAGCGTTGCTCTTTGAAGGCTGCTGAGAAAAGGCATCTGAGAGCCCGCAGGCAGAGCTGCAGGCACCGTCTGTTGCTAACAATACCCAAACAGGACTCACTGGGCTGACAGTCAGGAGGCCAAGAGGGACAGACCTTGCTGGTGCTGGGAGATGGTGCTCTGACGGGTTACCCAGACCTGTTGGGGTGCGCTTGCCAGAAGCCAATTGTGTTTCTTCTCTAGAGCTGAAAGTCAGATCATGAAATAAAGACTGAAAAACATGGAAATCTTCTTCCTTCTGGATGGTGTTCGAAAACTTCTGACATAGCTTCCAGAAAATCTTTTATAAGATAACTCTTGATTGCGTTCATACTATGGTTAATCACATTGCATTCCTGGGTCAGGAAGATCAATGCCTTGTTTTTCTTTTTTTGGCAGGATCTTTCAGATTAAACCAGATAGGGAAAGCTTTGTCAGATACAATGCTACTTTCCTAAAAGTAATCACATATGGAAAATTTAGTTGGAAAAGATATCATTTCAAAATCTTTTGAGTTTCAATTGATTGTCAGAAGGATTTCAGGTCCCCTTTGTAACTCTGGGGGTTGTCTGGGAGCACAGATGGTAAGAATTGGCCTGCGATGGTGGGTACGCAGGTTCCATCCCTAGGTCAGGAAGATCCCCTGGAGAAGGGAAAGGCTGCCCACTCCAGCATTCTGGCCCGCAGGATTCCATACATGAACCATACAGTCCACGGGGTCGCAGAGCCGGACACGACTGAGTGGCTCTCACGCTCACCCTGCCGTGGCCCCAGCTTCTGTCCTCAGCTCTGACTCTGACACACAGACGCGGCTGGGCCGCTGAGTCCCGCATGCGGCTCCCAGCACCTACGTCCCATATCCTGCTCTGTTCCTACTTGTCTCCTGGACACCTTCACCTAATGCTCCTCAGACAACATGAGTCCTCTTGGACAGGAGATGCGGGCTTGATCCCTGGGTCAGGAAGGTCCGCTGGTGCAGGAAATGAAAGTACTGTGAGTGGATGTTCAGTCCAGGGTGGGCTACAGTCCATGGAGTCTCAAGGAGGCCGACACGACTGACGACTAAGCACAGCGATTCTCCACTAGACCCCTGACGCTCCCCTTCCACGTAGGCTCCTCTCAGTTAATACGTCACAATGAGCACAGTTACCTGAGGTAGACGAGTAAGTGGCACCGTCATCTCCAGTCCTTCCCTGGCCCCTTGCCCCCAGTCCACCTGGTCCTCACAGCCTGTGATGCCCGCCGTCTCATCAGCTCTGGGCAGCACCTCGTCACTGCGGCACTGCCCAGGCTCAGGCCTGCCTGGCTGTGCCCTGGTCCCCAGAGCTGCGTCCTCAGGGCCCCTGGGGCCTGTCCCCCTGCACCCAGTCCCTCCACAGGGCCGGCGCTGGAGTCAGAAAGGACACGGGAGGGAGGGAGGGAGGAAACGGATGAGAGCAGGAATCATGTCACTCATCCAGTCTGAATGGTTCCCCATGCTGTGGTTCAGCGCTCAGTCGTGTCTGACTCTTTGCGACCCCGTGGACTGCAGCCGGCCAGGCTTCCCTGTCCATCATCATCTCCCGGAGCTTGCTCAAACTCATGTCCATGGAGTCAGTGATGCCATCCAACCATCGCATCCTCTGTCCTCGCCTTCTCCTCCTGCCTGCAATCTTTCCCAGCATCAGGGTCTTTTCCAATGAGTCAGCTCTTCCCATCACGTGACTAAGGTATGAGAGTTTCAGCTTCAGCATCAGTCCCTCCAGGGAATAGTCAGGATTTATTCCTTTAGGATTGTCTGCTTTGATTGCCTTGCACTTCAAGGGACTCTCAAGAGTCTTTTCCAACACCACAGCCCCATGACTGACAGATATAACGGCCCCCAGCGTGTCTCCAGCCCAGCCCTGCCCAGTCCGTCCAGCCCTGCCTGCCGCACCTGGGCCGCTCCGGCCCACACCCTCTGCCGGGGCCTGAGTGTGCCTCGCGGAGGGAGCCCTTTCCCACCGCTGACTCCGCCTGGCTGGTTCCTGCTCCAGCCTCCCCCTGGACCTCACCCCTCCCTCGGGCCCGGCTCCCCTGTCACCCTGGGGCCAGCCCAAGCCCCACAGCATCACCAGCTCCGTCCTTCTGGCCCCATCGGGCAGGTTATGTGCCCATCAGAGCCGCTGCCCGCAGCACCGACACAACCCCTTCCCCGTCCCTCTGAACAGACAGAAGAGGAAGGGCGTGTCTGATCAGTTTCGCCTCTCGCCCCTTTTGTCACCTGATGGAGTCCTGCTACAATCAGCGCCCAGCACATGGGGCGTGGGGTTTTCCCGCTCCGCTGCCTAGTGGGCCTGTGGGGCAGGGAGATGCTGAGACGCCGTTGCTCCA